TTGTGAAAACATCGTGTACTCTATCCCCTTTGGGTCTGTAAAAGCACACTGATTCCGGCTGTGGAATAAAGGTAAATATCTAGCTAGGAGCTGTTCAGCTGTGCAGAAGAATGACAAATAATATCAGCGATGCTAAGTTCCTTGTTAATGTGTATGACGGAGTGGAAAAGACGGTCTTCTGAAGGTCGAATTTCTAACTGTACGAATGAAACAACCGCTCCCCGTACGGCTCATTCGTTTGTTTTGATGACAAATAGTTTTCGGTGCATGCAAGTGGTGAAGTCCACGATCAGCTTGCATACATGTAATTATCAGGAGGAGAGGTTATCGACAGGCTTTTCATTCATCGGCTGCTTCTGGCGGTTGTTACAGCTCAAACTTCATATATCCTCTATCTCTCGCAGAGGGTAAATGTGAGGGCGAGGGAGGGGTTGGCTTTTCAGTTGTTTTTGAAAAATGACAAAAGTAAAAGAGGTAGTCTGCTTGCTGTCTGGCTGCGAGCATAGCAGCACTGTATCTTCTCTGTTTCTGGTGTACTGAATTGCAGTCCACTTCCATAATTCGCATGTTGGGCGATTAAAAAGAAATTATGTTTTCCTACAGCCCTATTTTCAAAGTTTTGTCAAAACTTTACAGTGCTTGTTTGTCAAAATTTGTTTGTCGATATCATTCTTCTCTTCCATTTAAAGTGGATTCGACCTTCTGAATCTACTTTTTTGCCATCATTGGAAAATGTCCGGCTGCTTTTTAGCTCCAGCACGATTGGTGATGTGAGAAAGCGCTGTGATGTAGAACTGAGAGGTGAGGTGGAATATTCGTCAATGGTGATCAGCCATGATGACTGTGAATTGACCGATGACACGCCACTTGAGCTTGTTCTGGCAGATGGCAACAAGTTGTTGGAATGTATTTTAATTGGGTGGTCGAAGCCTTCCGCTGCACAGATTTACACAAAACGCTCGAAATGTAAGTTTTTAAAGCAGCTCTGCTGGTAAAACTTTCAAAGATAGCTTGGCTTTTTGAAGCATGATTCAGTCAACGCAGCGAGCTGCAGCTGATCAAGGTACCGAAGTAAGCGACTCAGTAGGTAGTACGTGGTCTTTTATAGAACAGAACGTCATAGAAGGGCCACCAG